CTCACCTGCCAACCATGATGACAGCATTTACCATACCATACCGGTCAATAGTCTTTAATAAAAATTACAAACTCGACAAATCAGATATTGCAGCTCAGGCACAAATGACAATACTGATAACCCCCCAATACTTCTACTTCTTCTTCTCTTATTATTCCTCCGGCTACGGTTACTATCAATTGTACAACTCGCCCTCCCGTTGCGAGTGTCGTATTATACGGGTATCAGCAAAACGTTAGAGATGACCAAACGGAAATGTTAATGTGTGATTGTCGCGATCATCGGCAATTGTTAAACATACCTGTACCGATATCCTCAGATATTGTAATTAGTACCAGTCCTACACCTACATTAACTTTTCCGTTTCCAGGGTTAACTCCAGTAATTTCTGAACCATCGACCACAATATCGGCTTCGGGTGTAAAACACCCGATCATTGGTAGCACGCTCATTAACAGATCGGACAATTTACTGTTAGACCTTAACGGACCGTGTACTGGTCTTCCCGACGGGTCGTATTCCGTGGTTGAACGCACCGACGACGATAACCAAACTCATAACACGGGAGCTGTTGTAACAGACGACGCGTCGTCGTCAATCTTGCGAGAAGATCTCAACCTGTATCTGAATACTCATCCGGTGGAATTGCAAAACGGATGGAAGGGTGACGACCACCGCAATCGTCACGGTTATCTCGTGGGTGGAAACTGCGCTCCCGTTAGAATAAAATGTGTATCCCGGTACGCTCTCAAATATAGAATAGACCACACTCAAATATATTCAGTTAGTATGAGTGTGAACATTAAAATTATGATATATAAATATATATATGTAAAGTAGTGTTCTTCTATCTCTTATTAATAAAAAAAACAAGATGCAGATATTTGTAAAAACACTTACGGGTAAATCGATCACCCTAGACGTCGAACCAGAGGATACAGTCTCGACCTTAAAAGAAAAGATTCAACTTGCAGAAGGAATACCTCCCGATCAAACGGTTAATTTTTAGTGGTAAACAATTAGAAGATGGACGCACCCTTCAAGATTATAATATACAAAAAGAATCTAATATACATCTGTATTGCGTTTACGGTGGTGAATATAATTGAAAAATTTACTTGTTCAAGTAAATTGAAAAATGTTTCTTCAAGTAAACTTTATAAAATTTATAATTTCATGTCTCTGTTGACCATCTCTCATGTTTAGATATTTTTTATTGGATAATTGCCTATCCGCGCAGCAGCAACAGCAATACTACCATCATCACCATTACCACCACCTGTTGTTAAAATTTCTTGGGTAGGTTCAAGAGAACTAACGACCATATTGTTACTACTACTATCGCTATTGATTTTATTATTGGAATAAAAAGTCTTACTGATGTATTTTGTTTTTTATTTCTCTACGATTTAACATTTCTAACTGCCTATATTTTTGTTCATAACTTATATCACGTGTGTTATTCAAAACATTTTTAACTTGTTTATTTATTACCGATTTTATTCGTTTATTCGATTTTTTTTGTTTGGATTGCAAATCAATGTCAGAGGATAATGATGCAGTAGTAGTAGCAGCATCCTTTACTACACTTTGTATTCCTTTAAATATCAATTCTGGAGGAATTAGGATATTGTTTTGTCTTTTCTTGGCAGCTGACGTGACATTGGGTGGTTCAAAAGCATCTAAAGGTGACCGTGTATGACTCTTGGATCTGCAACACGGACACGTTTTAGTGAGTGTAGAGGAGGATGAGTTGCTGATAAAGTTCAGTGTAGCCGTTGATATGGAGTTTAATTGCTTAACATCTCTCAATATTTGAGCATACTCTTTTCGTGTCCAGGTTGACAGAGAATATCGCTTCGTTTTTGCACATCGCGTTCTAGGATCTTGATGCCGGAGACGAAGAGGGATGAAACGATATTAATAACCGCAATGAGATTTTTTAATATCTCGGTTTCTGGAGAAAAACCGAAAAGAAAATAATCGTTATTGCTGTCTTCAAGCTTTGTGCTCTTATTGTACATGTCTCTTGCGGTATACGAGAATTGTGTTTCGATAAATCTATATATTGTACCTGTGATTGTTGCAGTGGCGGTAATGATACAGAATGAATTGTATTTTGCATCATACAGTCGGTAAGTTTTTCAAATATGCTAGGAAATGAAGATGACCTCTTACCATTTCTCGATAAGATATTTTCAATCGTCTTAGAACCATGAGTGTTAGTTATCATGTGTCTTAAATGTGTTTTGATGGTATTTCTGTAAAATGGTAATTGTGCTATTCAGTTGTGAAATATCGCTAAACTCTACATCTAAATAATGGTCGTCTTCAACTTTATTTTCTCTATCGTTACCGACACCAACACCACCACCATCACTGTCATCGCCGTCACCACCACCACACTCACGGTTTAACAATAAAAGATAACCTTTATCATTACCATTACTAGTAGACTCGATATTTAATTGATTTGTGTTTTCTGTCATTGTTTATTACTCTTTATTTGAAGTATTTAGTGTTTATAGAAGTGAGATGTTATATAAAATATATACACACATATACATATATACATATATATATATATATATATATATATATATATATATTATATATATTTTTTTTATTCATTTCATTGTTTGATAAATAAGAATAATGTTATCCATTAACAATAACAACATTATTGGTAGTAGTGATGGTAGTGGTAACAACCATAGTAAATGTAATAATCCTAATGGTGATATAGTCGACATTAATACCCGATATAATCTTATTAATGCTAATGTTAATAATAATATTAAAGATTCACGTGATAATCCTAATAGTGCTATTATCAGAACTAATACAACTGTTAGTAATTTAACTACTGCTAATACTACTAAAAATATTATTACTAATAATATTAAAGATCCACCTAGTACATTTGATAATCCTAATAGTGCTATTATCGGTACTAATACAGCTGTTAGTAATTCAGCTACTGCTAATACTACTAAAACTCCACCTCACAGCGACATTGAATCAATATTCATACAGAATATTGGAAAACTTTTTGGAAAAGCTATGATCACTTATATAATGACCAAAATGGAAACGACCTATAGTGAAGAAGAAGAAGACGACGACGATGGTGAAGATGATATTGATGATCAATTTCGATCTAGGTACAAATTAATCAATAGAGCCATAAAAGCATTGGCGACCTTTATCATAAACACCTCACCTGAATCTGAAAGAAGTCTTCTCGATTTGTATCGTGCTGAAAAGGCAAAGCTCACACGAATGGTGACAGACTTGGCTGTTAAAAAATATATGGATAATCCATTTCAAAGAGCAATAATACGGCACGCTTCTGCTGGTGACTCCAATACCATATCCTTCTTGGAGCAAGAAATAAAGAATCGAAACCCAAAAATGACAACGCATGAAGCTATGAAAATCGTAGCAAACTTTAAAAACGACTTGATCAAATATTTTGTTTACCGATTATAGAAATTATTGCAAAACTCTCTAATGATGCGAATGTGAGACTCGATATGTATATGGTTATAGTAGCGTTTGTCGAAAGGGAATATTCAACTTGTTACACGAATCATAAAGACTTTTCAGAGATCAATTTTGCCAACCTAGTTTATGATTTAAATTTGTACTATCTGCAACAAAGAAACAGAGATGAAAAAATAACGATATCGGAAAAAGATCTCGAGTTTATAAAGAGTAAGCATCTACCCATTCCTGATGGGACTTCCCTCCAACTTGCATCAAATATTTATTTCAAGAATGATCCGCTTTTAGGGAGACTACCGGTAAATATCGATTCCATTTATAGAATTGCCACATTTTTAGCATCTGTAAAATCAATTGAAGATAAGAGTATTATATGTCAAGGTACCTTTGAGTATATCATTTTCTTACTACGACAGTGTTTAACCAATGAAGCGTTAACAAGTTGTAATAACAATTACTCTCAGAACCTGCAAGACTTGGGTGATTATCACAGTTCGTTTATCGACAGTTTTGTGGAATTTGAAAGGCGTTTTAAAAAGAGAATTAACAAACGAAAATGGAGATCTAATAATAATAATAATAATAGAAAAATGACAGCAATGACGAAGATGACGACGGTTATGATGATAATATGGATACTTATAACCCAGTGATGGTTAATAGTGATAAAATTCGTTTAATAATCGTTATTATCTCGCAACCGGTATATTGGTGATGGCAGCATAATCGGCCAAAGATTAATTTCTTTAGTTGAAAACGCGACATTGCAGGCTTACAGAAACTAACAGACAGTGTTCTTGCCTATAATAATAATAATAATAATGTCAGTCCGTTTATAAATCTATATGTTCAAAATTTGATCGACATTATATCCGTTCAAGGAGAACGTCTAAAAAATATAAAACTATTTCAATGTGAATCCTCTGTCGATGTTCTACCGGGATCTATTTCTTCTTCTTCCTCCTCCTCTTGTCATGATATGTTAAAAAACGAATCAAACTTCTTAAATGACTCTTCGTTAGCAGCACGTGAAACTGATGATAGATGTTCAATAATAATTAATTACGAAAGCGCTTTATTGACAAATATGAGCAATGAAAAGATTATAACAAATTCATCATCAACAGACAATAAAATGATGTTGATCACAGATATGTTTGCAACACAGTTACCTGCTCATAATCTCTTTATAGAAATTTTCACAACTCTTTTACAAAAGGCATTTCCTAACGAAACTATCACTACCACCAAGCGCAGTATATTGTCGACTCAGGCCAAAACGATGTCACCATTCGGACCCGATTCTGTAATAGCGTCAGTGTATGCCATAGAATTTTTTTCCCTAAAAAAAAATGTAAGAACAATACATTTGTTGAAAAAAAAAATCATCATAACGATGACTCGGAATTGTTGCTAAAATTCAACACGGCTATCGAATCGTCTCTGCAAGATATCAAAGTCGCCGAGGCCAAAAAGAAAGTCGTTGAGGAAGCCAAAACGTATCTTGAGCGCAATGGAGCAACTATTATAAATATCATAGAACATATTACGACGACTGAAAAAAATAAAGACACGGTAACATTGCCATATTCTTTGAATAGTTTAATAGAGGGTATAATGACAGTCTTAGTAAAAACAATTTATTTGACTAGACTTAAGATATTAAACACAAATACAGTGGAACATCACACCGCCACCGCTGCCTCCACTTCGTCGCATGCATCGGCACTCGGTGGAGACATACAGGTCTTTGATGCTCATACCAGAAATTGTGGAATGGCTCGTAGAACACTTGGCGTCTCAAGTAGAGACGGCCATGTCGTCTATATTAGAGACAAAGTTGCCCAGCAGATTCGAAGACCAAATATACGAATCGAATAAATCGAAATTGGCCTCGACTGCCGTGACAGAGTCGGAGATAGGTAAATTGTTTATACAGTCTATGGCGAATGATTATCTCACAAATATCGATAACGTTCTCAATGTACCACATTCGAACCAACCCGTCTTCGAGAACAACTTGTTCGATTGGTTGTAGATAAATCGACAAGCGTTCTTAAGAAACAGTGCTGGACGCTAATAATAATGGTAGTCATGATTTTAATAGACCACAATCGGGACACAACTCTAAATATTCAAAATATCAACCTGACCGAAGATAATGAAGCTTCTAATCTAGTGGCCTATCTCAATATATTAAACATAGACAAAAATAGGAAAAAACAACTCAAACAAGTCATATCTGCCGTATGTTTATCAGTAGCCAAGAAAGCTGCTTTTTCGTTTGCGAGATTATCCAATTCACATTTCGCATACTTGCTTCAAAGATTTAATATCGTACCACGGAATAGTGGTAATTATCAATATAACAACAGTAATAATAAGAGAATGGTCAGTAACATTAATATAAATAATAATAATGATAAGTCTTCTCCCTCTATACCAGCGTCTACAACAAAGAGATATAAAAGAGGAGAATATTTTAAGCTGCGACAATCGCCA